TGTCTGGGCTTGTCCGCGTAAGGATGCGGCAAGGTACAGTCCCTTCAGTCACGCATTCCACATGTTTATGTTACTGCATGCTTCAAAATGCGCCCTATAGTCGATCCATGAACCAGTACCATCAAACGTAGCTGGTTTCATAACAGTTTTCCCAAACTGTTGACTACTGATGCTTTGGCTTTGTGTTACCTCGGGTCCCCTAGTTTGGTGTACACTAGTCAGTGGGTTACTGTCTTTTGCTCTTTATTTCTTTATTTATTCTTTATTTCTTAAAGAATGGCTTTATTACCTCTCGTCTTCAGACAGAATCAGTCGGTTTGAACGCACAGAAGAAAGCTGAAGACGAGAGGTAATAAAGCCACTCTTTAAGAAATAAAGAATAAGGGTGAAAGAACCTGGTACTTCACAGAACAATAGGAACTCTGGTTGTTCCAGGAACACGGTACAGGTTACCTTGCTCTGAAACCACGGCCTACCATTTTTAAATAAATTATTTGTACATAGATCAAATCAATTATAACTCAGAGTAAGAGGAAAAATATGTATATATACAGAACCCTTGTCCCTTGTAGAACCCAGTAGGTTTACACGTTACAATACTTACATATCATGTATACTACAGGGAAAATCGTGAAAAACGCATAACAACTGTTCCTTACAGATAATGTCCTACTTTACATTATAAAGAGAGAAAGGTATGCCACTCTCTTGTACCCCAACTTGGTATAATTTATAAATAAAACCTATTGCTATCCGTTTTCCGTTAACATTTGAACATTTCCAGCTTCTTCTCTGAAACCGCTCAACCAATTCCAACCAATTTTGGCATATAGCATCTATGGGTGAAAGGGGACAAAATTTGTGATTTTCATGATCCCTGCCCCCCCCCCCCCCCCGGGGCCTGAGGAGTGGGGCCAAATAACTAAAAATTAATGCAATCTTTAATAATCTTCTTCTTTATTCCTGGACATCAAGCAGTCAAACTGTTGGCATGCTACCAAAATTTTGAAATTCATTGTTTGTTTTGTTTGTTTGTTGTTTAACGTCCCTCTTGAGAATTTTTCACTCATATGAAGACGCCACCACTTGCCGATGGAGAGCTGCAATTTTTATCCTATACTCGGCACTTACGGCCATTGAGCAGTGAGGGATCTTTTTCGTGCAAACACCTACAGCGACGCGGGACCTCGGTTCATACGGTCTCATCCGAAGGACGGGTGTCCACGTCCCACAGTGGGATTCGAACCCGCGACGTTAGGATCAACTCTTTACCTCGCGATTCTATAGCAGACTCTCTAACCACTGCACCACGCGGGCGACTGTGAAATTCATGGCCTCAGGGTGAGGGGTTCTGACGCTAGGGCGGGACTTTAATGATTATATAGTGAAAATGCATTATTTCTTTAAAAATCTTCTCCTTTGGTCCTGGGTATTAAGCCGATAAACTAAGTACATAGTTATGATGATGAGGGGGGGGGGGGTTATTTTAAAATTGTGAATTTCATGGCCCCTGGGTCAGGGATTCTGGTGTTAGGGTGGGGCTCTAATGATAATATAGTGAAAATGGATTAATTCTTTGAAAATCTTCTCCTCTGGTCTTGGGTATTAAGCCGATGAACTAAATACATAGTTATGATGAGGAGGGGGACCTCTTCTAAAATTGTGAATTTCATGGCCCCTGGGTTAGGGGTTGTGGTGTTAGGGCGGGGCTATATAGATCATAAAGTGAAAATGCATTTCTTTGAAAATCTTCTCTTCTCTTCTCCTGGGTATTATTTAAACAAACTGCATAAGTGCATGGTTATGATGAGCAATAATGTCTTTTCCCAAATTATGAATTTCATAGCCCCTGGGTCAGGGGTTGTGGTGTAGGACGGGGCTTTATTGATTATATAGTGAAAATGGATTAATTCTTTGAAAATCTTCTTCTCTGCTCCTGGGTATTACTTCAGCAAACTAAGCGCATGGTTATGATAAGCAGTGATGCGTTTTCCAAAATTGTGAATTTCATGGCGCCTGGGTCAGGGGTTGTGGTGTAGGACGGGGCTCTATTGATTATATAGTGAAAAATGGATTAATTCTTTGAAAATATTCTTCTCTGCTCCTGGGTATTACTTAAGCAAACTAAGTGCATAGTTATGATAAGCAGTGATGCGTTTTCCAAAATTGTGAATTTCATGGCGGCTGGGTCAGGGGCTCTGTCGTTAGGGCAGAGCTCTTTCGATTATATTGTGAAAATGCATTAATTCTTTGAAAATCTTCTTCTCTGCTCCTGGGTATTATTTAAACAAACTAAGTGCATGGTTATGATGCACAAGGATGCCTTATCCAAAATTTTGAATTTCATGGCCCTGGGTCAGGGGTTCTGGTGTTAAAGTGGGGCTCTATTGATTATATAGTGAATATGCATTAATTCTTTGAAAATCTTCCTCTCTGCTCCTGAGTATTATTGAAACAAACTAAGTGCATGGTTATCATAAGCAATGATGCCTTTTCCAAAATTGTGAAAATCAGGGCCCAGGGTCGGGGAGAGGGTGGGGGCCCTATTGATTATATAGTGAAAAAAGCATAATTTCTTTGAAAATATTATTTTTCTGCACCTGGTTATAAAGCAAAGAAAATAAGTGTATAGTTATGATGAACAAGAGTGCTTCTTCCAGAATTGTGAGTTTCATGGCCCCTAGGTCAGATGTTCTGGTGTAAGAGTGCGGCTGTATTGATAATGTAGTGAATAGTGAAAATGCATTAATTTTGTTAAATAATCTTGTCAGCTCCTTAGTGTTGACCAGATAAACAAAGTGCATAGTTATGATGAACAATTGTGCTTCTTACAAAATTTGTAAAATTTGTGGTTCGAGATTTTGGTGGTTCTTGGAGGGGGGGGGGGTGTTATTGATAATATAGTGAAAATATGTTAATTTTTTGAAAATCGTCAACTAATTGCATAGTTATGATGATGAGGGTACCTCTACCAAATTTGTGAATTTCATGACCCTGGGACATGGGTTTTAGTGTTAGCTAGGGTAGGGCTGTGTTGAATCTGTAGTGAAAATGTATTATTTCTTTGAAAATCTTCTCTGCTCCTTGGCATATCGAAAGCAAACAGAATAAAAGTTTTAATAATAAAGGGTATTTTTACCAGATTTTTGAACATCCGGACCATTTGGTCAAGTGTCGTGGTCCTGGCCAGGGCTCTATTAATTTGTATTCTTCTGGTAGAAGTTATTCCCCTTTGCCATTCACTTTTGATAATTAATCATTGTAAATAATGTATTTGAAAGGAAATAGAATAAGAGAATTATGCAAATTTTTTTTTTGTATAATACAAAAAGTACTTTTATAGTATTAATGGTCAGGTAGACTTGTAAATAATAAATAAATAAAAATGAGACAAAAATAACTTATCTCATTTAATGTTCTTCAAAGACCAAGAGAGGCCAATGTGAGAGGTCACAATATGGTGTTAAAAGTAGTACAGAAGAACAGAAGAACTAATAGTTTGTTAATAGTCTGCATGGTGATAGTGATAAATGGGGGATAGATTAGAATTTATGAGTTGTTACTGAATACTAGACTAATTATTTCATGATCCTGATCATCCTATTTCTCTTGCTTTTGGGCAACAAAATTTCATCTATCAGTTTATTGTATTCTCTATGGATCCTCTAAATTGTTGTATTATACTCAGGTGACCGTTAAGGCCCTTAGGCCTCTTGTTTTAAATATAACAAAAAAATTATTGACTGTTTTGTTTTTCATATAACAAAACAATATTATTGACTGTATTTTCGGGCAACATTGATTATGTTAGCCCCCTTGTGACAAAATATTGTGGCCCTCCGCTCCGCGTCGGGCAATATTTTGTCCCTTGGGGGCTAGCACAAACAATGTCGCCCTCAACCCCAGTCAATATTTATATAGTATTATATAAATAGTGCACGTTTTTGAGGGTAACAGTTGAAATTGACACCCCAAGGAAAACCATTGTCAACCGACGCGTCAGCGGAGGTTGACAATGGTTTTCTGAGAGGTATCAATTTCAACTGTTACCCTCAAAAACATGCACTATTTATCTTATTATACTGAATGTCTTATTGATTTTGGATGTCATAAGAAAAATTCGGAGATCGTGGTCAAGTTCACGCTTAGAAAGCTTTCAAACTCCCTGATTCTATTTTTCTCAATAAGAAAGCTTCGGAAAAGATTTACCAACCTCTTTATTGTTTGTTTGCTACTCAAAAAGTCCTTTATCATCTAAAGTTTGCACTCGCAAGGATGTTTCATCTGTCGTTTGTTGTTTTCAAGTAAAAGTACTGGAGTATTGACACTCAAATTGAGTTCATTCCATTAAGGGAAGAAGAAGATACATCGGACTCAAGCTCTTATTGACGTCGTTTAATCGACTTCTTTCAAACGAACAACTGACCTTTTGAGAATTCTACGGTGAACCGTACGCGCATGATTTGAACGCATGTGACATTTTTTTCGTAATGTTACCCGTTGTCAAGTGTGTTGCTAACGCCGAGGGTAACGTTACGGATTGTTAAATGCGTCTAAACCAATCAGATTTTAGTATTTAACATGAAAGTATAATAAAATATAATAAATACTACATGTAGTTGAGGGTAACATTGAACATTTTCACCCCAAGACAACCATTGTGAACGGAGGCGTCGTAGTTCATGGTAACATTGAAAATCTCCACCCAAAGAAAACCATTGTCAACCTCGGCTGCTCCACGGTTGAAAATGGTCTTCTTTTGGGGTAAAAATAGTTTCAATGTTACCCTCAACTATATGCAGTAATTATATAATACTGTATTTAAAAGTGTTATAGGGCTCCAGTCGAGAAACTATCTTGACTTGTCGTCTTTTGGTAGAAGTGTCATTATACCATGTCTGTTTTTGTTTTTGTTTTAATAGAATATGAAACTCTTCTTTTGTTTTGCACTTCTTCCCATAACGTTTTTTGATATGACATATTATGACGATAATTAACAGGTACAGCAGGAGGCAGCTACTATTCAGAGACTGGTAATGGTGCCAATACTTTGTGTCTCCCACATGACCCTGAATTGTTACCAGATCATTTACCACTTACACCGTCTGGATTCAGCCATATCTACGGTGGTGAATATCAATTTAGTTTAGGAAAGGTTGTCATACAAGATGATGTGCCCTGCTCTGTCTGTCATGTCAAAATGGCGACTTCTTCGATGATGATTCCAGCCAAACGATCGTGTCCGACTGGATGGTCTAAGCAGTATTCTGGTATTCTAACAGCCAATTCTTATGGTTACGACAAAAGCGAGTACCTTTGTGTAGATGAAGACCCTGACTTCGTTGAGAGATCTCGACAAAATGAGGAAGGGAAACTCTTTTATACAGTGAAAACTGTGTGCGGTTCTCTACCATGTCCACCGTACAAGAATGCAACAGTGGTGTCATGCGTTGTTTGTACAATGTAATTATAATCAATTTCAGCAATAAATTCACGTGTGCACAAAATAATAACTTTCAACAATGACTTCATGAGTTGGGATGCACAGTGTTATAATTTCAAGAAATTAACCGACAAAAAGTCAACTTTGTCCTTTATTTTCCTTCAATTCATTATAAATATTAAACAGAAAGTACACTGTAAAATACTAGGGTACATGTATATACTAGTGCTCAGTTCTAATTTTATCGCGTGTTCCATTGTATCGCGGTATTTTCCAAAAATTATGATACACAACATATATCCTGATAGATGAGAAAAGTGTCTGGATATATCTGGGCGGGTGTCTTTAAAGGTGCATTTGTAGTCATGAAAGGCGAAGGAATGATGCTCAGACAGGTTCTATCACAGTTGTACAGATACATGGTTGAAATAGTAACAGATCTCTGGGGCTTGATCGAGTCAGTTTTACTCACATTTTTGAATGCTGAACCTGTGCCATTGCAAGATAACAGATAATGGAATAACGAGTAAAGGTTATTTCAGTCTAATTAAACCAACACCCTTAAATTCCCTTACTTGTCGTTGAATGACAAGTAGGAGAAAGATGGGGGTCGTTTTGAACTTCTTTGTTGTACTTGACACTAATTAATAATCTGTTGAGACATACTTTTGTATCAGACAATTTAAGTAGAGATGCCCTCTAGATGGCTAGACCCTCACCAACGGTCGCACCATCTAACATATTATGAATCTGAACACCATTCGGAGTCCTGGGAGGTTTTAAATTACACATAAATGTGAACGCCGTCCCCAAACCTCATAAATTTATTTGCTGTTTCAGAAGGGTATACTAAATTAACCTTATTCTATTGAAAACATTGCCGTGATGTCATTCCATTGTATTTTCAGTCTAAAAATTTACCTTTGGCAGTCCATTGTTAGTAAGCAATAGTCGAACGTGTTGGAGTGTCTCTGTGTAGTACTGATAGTAGTAAAGTGTGCACAAACGGAGACTATTTTACCGGACCCGAACCTAGTCGCCTCTTCCTATTCTTAATGTAAATCATTTTTATGACTATAAAGACTTGTGTTTTACTTTTTGGTTTGTGTGTTTTTTGCGAATAGGTAGGTAGGTATTTGAAAGATGGGTGGACGCTAAACATAGAAAAAACTTGGAATGGCCTTATATATAAACAAGAGACCCAATGGCCTTAACGGTCACCTGAGTACAATGCAACACTTTAGAGGATCCATAGGGTATAAAATAGACTGATAGACGAAGCTTTGTTGCCCAAATCCAAGAGAAATATGATGATTAGGATCAACAAAATATTTAGTCTAGTATCTAATCTGTCCTCCATTTATCACAATCACCATGCAGGCTATAAACAAAATATTTATTATTTAACCCCATTTTATTACCTCTCACATTGGCCTTTCTTGGTCTTTGAAGAATATTTAAAAAGATAAGTTCTTTTTGTCTCATTTTTATTTATCTATTATTAACAAGTCTACCTGATCATTAAAACTATCAAAGTACTTTTTTTGTATTAAATAATAAGAATTCTGCCTTAGTTCTCTTATTCTATTAACCTTTCAAATACATTATTTACAGTGATTAATTATCAAAGATGAATGGCAAACGGGATTAACTTCACTCAGTAAAATACAAATTAATAGAGCCCTGGCCAGGACCAGAACACTTGACCAAATGATCCAGATGTTCAAAATTCTGGTAAAAATACCTTTGGTTATATAAAGTTTTATTCTGTTTGCCTACAATATTCTCAGAAGCAGAGAAGACTTTCAAAGAAATAATTCATTTTCACTACAGATTCAACACAACCCTATCACCAGAACCCATGACCTAGGGTCATGAAATTTACAGATTTGGAAGAGGTACCCTATCATCATAACTATGCAATAAGTTGAAGATTTTCATAGAATTCACACATTTTCACTATATTATCAATAGAGTTCTCCCCCCCCCCCCCACCCGAGAAAAAACAGAACCCTTGACCCTGGGACCACAAGTATTAAAAATTTTATAAGAAGCACCCTTGCTCATCATAACTATGCACTTTGTTTATCTAATCAACACCCAGGAGCAGACAGGATTATTTAATAGAATTAATGCATTTTCACTATATTATTGATAAAGAACCATAAATAAAATTGCTCTTTGAAGGCCTTTTGAAATTTCATCCTTTACTTTGCATTGAAGCTACATGTAGATTTTATTGAGGAATGGAGAATTCATTATTTAATGTAAAAAAAATGCAAAATGGTGATATCACACATTCAAATAGGTGATATGTATCACCAATTCAAAACAAAAAGGTGACATCACCTATTCGAATAGATGATATCACCTATTCAACTCAAATAGCTAATGTCACCTATCCCAATAGGTGATATCACCTATTCATTTCCAATAGGTGATATCACCAATTCGAAAAGGTGTTATCATCAATTCGAAAAGGTGATATCACCAAATCGAAAAGTTGTTATCATCAATTCGAAAAGGTGATATCACCAATTCGAAAAGGTAATATCACCAATTCGAATAGGTAATATCATCAATTCGAAAACGTGATATCACCTATTCAATTTGAGTGAGTGATGTCACCTATTCAATTTGAATGAGTGATATCACCTTTTCAAACAAGTGATATCACGTGTTCGAATAGGTGACATCATTAAATGGCAATAAATACCAATCTGTTGTTTCATACTATAGACATATTATGATTCATACATAATGATCACGAAACGGCAGTTTTATACCACGTAAGTTCACTTGTTCGTTGTGAGAAAATGTTTGTTCAACCGTTTCCACAGCAATGAAAATAGTTTTAAAAATCTTTGCAATTGTGAAGTTTCACAAAGATTTTACAAGCCAGTCGTGAGAATATTCCTTTCTTCCCATGACAACGGTGGTCAGTTTTAAAAATCAAAACATTTAATGAACATCTAGAGTTGCTGATAGTCATTTCTGAGACGTTTCATTAATTTTATCCAAGTCATGACTGCATGAGAAAATGTTCGGACAAAATAATAGGTCTAGCGATAACAATATATCGTCCTGACTTGCGTTCTGGACGACATGATAACAGCTTTAACCAATAGCTAGTGTGACGTAACTATTTTGCAATTTTATTTTTGAGCTGAGAACACAATAATTAAAGTCAGCATTTCGTAAATTTTATGGTTATTGCAATGACTTTGTTAGCAATATAATCTATCATTGGGTGGTATTTTGGCTGACTTGTTTCATACCAGTTGTTAGGCCTTTGTTTTTATACTGAATTTGACTACGGATTGCTCCGCCTACCTGATCAATACATAGGCCGGGCTCACGGTGGGTATGACCGGTCAACAGGGGATGCTTATTCCTCCTAGGCACCTGATCCCACCTCTGGAATTTCCAGGGGTCCGTGTTTTTTGCCCTCTTCACAGAATTTTATTGTTTATATATTTTTTAAGATAGAATACTGTCGCTATATTCACCTTTTTCAGTCTAATAAAAAGAAACACAGTGTTCGTCTAGTTTTAATAAAAAAAAACGCAAGAGAATTAGCCGTTGAGACCAAACCTTGGCAACAATCATCTCTTTTCAACTTAGTATCACTCTGTTGGGATGGGGGTCATTTTTCAAGGGGGGTCAATTTTTTATAGGTTGCCCATGTAGAAAACTGACCCCTAGGGCTCTTTTTCTGCCAAAAGCACATTTTTCTACGGCTAGGGGCCAATTTTCGCTGACCCCCGGTCATTCTTCTACGGGGGTCATTATTCTTCTTTACACCGGCTTTTGTAACGGTGTTCAACCGGATATGCTGCTTCCTCACCGCCAATTGAAATTTTTGTAAACAGGGCGCGCGCTCTGTAATTGCAAGTGTTTACATTTTACCGGGTGTGTTCAATTTGTTTAGTCTGCACTTATCACTGACTGACGATACTCGTGAGTTGGTTTTGCTTTCTCGCATTTTAACTCTGAACTTTCTGGATTATAGTTTTCATTTTTTTTTCATTAATAAGCAACCAAATTTCTACTTTTCCTAAGTATTATGGATAAAGTTTACTTATTGAAAGTGCAAGAATATGTTTCAATCAAACGCATCCCCAAACTCGTAGTTTTAATAATATCTAGATAAAAGAAGTTTCTAAACACGCTTTTAATATATTTTGGTGTGAAAAGCTCTAGCAACATACATGTATGTCATGATATATTTCTTTTTTTTTAGAAAATACATGTATGAGCTTGTTATTTCAAACTCGATGGGGCCGAGAAAAAAATTCGAGATATCCGAGATATCAGGAGTAAAATACTTAAAAAATAAGTGGGTGGGACTTCCAAATCTCTTCGGCATATCCACGGTATTCGAGATATCAGTGTTCGAGATATCGAAGTTTATAACTGTATGAGCTTCAAATCTGTGCCCCGGCCCCTTTACAAGGGACATATGGAAAAAGTTACCGAATTAAACGCCAAATTACTCTAAGACAAAATCTTGATTTTTACTTCTCGACATATCAAGAAATACTTTGGATGCATGGGGGATAAAAAAGGGTTTTGCTAAAAAATATACCGAGAGAAAAGAATATTCTAGTATAATCCAAACATTATTCAGGATCGTTCTTCTGGGAGGTTTACACAGCAGACAAATGAGGTCATTATATTCCCTTACATGATAGCTTGTTTGTAATTTCTTTTTTAAAGTAATTTTATGTTTAAAGGTCTTTAATTTAAGGTCTTGTTTTGAGAAAGGTACCAATTAATGTATACATGTATTCCGTTCAATAATGGCACTTGCAAATTAATTTTAGTATTTTTGAAAGCAATTAGTTGAGTAAGTTATTAATTACTCCATTTAAGCATACATTGTTAATACATTTCTTCTATCATATGCAACTTTCTCATAAACAAATTGATGCTTCTTTTAGATACTTTACGATTTTAAATATTTGATCTTGAAAATTGCTCTTGATGCAAAGACGACATGTTTGTTTTCCCTAAATCAATCTGATACTTTAGATATAAAAAGTCATTGTTCC